ATAATTCATATGTGGACAAAATTGAAAATAAGTTAAAACACGAGTACGTAGGGAATGATAGTAATATGAATGTAATAGTTAGAAATTATTTAATTAATAATCGTGATATTAGTATAAATTATAGTGATAACGCTTTCGAAAAATATAAAAACGATAACAATTTACCCGATACGTTCGAAACGTATGAATTTGTAGAAGTTAACTTAAGAAATGGAATTCAAAATATGAACAAAATATTGTATACTAATCTGGGCTTTTTTTATGATGAAGTAAAAAATGAAACTTCTTATGTTCATGGATGCGAAATTCAAAAGAAAAAAAAAAGATTATTATGGTTTTAATTGTTAAATTGTAAGCGACTCAGCTCTAATAAACGATTATTAACATATGTAAAATTAAAAAAATTAAATATATCCATAAATTTGAATTAATAACTGTACCAATATTTTTATCAGGATTAGCAATAAACACGTATAAAATGTTTTTCGTTACATGTAATAAACATTACGTATAATAATTTTAAGACTTTCATTCTGCCTTAATGATTTATAAAGTCAATTTACGAAAACCATTTAATTTCAAAAAATCAGCACCTGATTTTTATGTACGAAATATTATAATAACTCTACGTATTTTAATAACGTACCTTAATTTTTATTAAATTGATATGTTTCATTAAGAGATTGACATTGTCGCAGTGGGATCCGTAAGAATCACGGGCTTAACAACCACGCGGACCCTATTTAATTCAGTGGGGGTGGCAACAGGTAACACTGCTCTTAGCCGGTCATGGCTCTGGATAGTTGAGACCGGTTATATTTGCTTGCTCACAGCGAATAGGCCCTCATAACTCAGCCATACCAAGTGAAAGGATTGCTAACTTGTCACAGTGTAGTTATCCGAAAGATAAAGTGGGATCCTCTATGACACCATAGAGTATAGAGACTTATTACAGTATCGAGTTGTGCTGTGATGGACCTTTACTAACGAATTTGGGACGAACAGGGACCCTACGGACAACCTGTCGGAACAAGCACGTGGCGGCTCTTCGCAGAAGAATCGTCAAACTTGAAAGTCTCAATGCGAAAAACGAGACAATATTTTTCGTTTTATTGTACTTCTGAGATAGATCTTAAATCTTTTACAAATTTTGATGATTAACAGCTCCTTTTGTAAAAGAATTAATTATTTTAGTGAAGGTGCTTCGATTCAATACAAAAATAAAAAACGTTTATTAATCTGTGTTTTAATATTAATGTAGACGAAATTGATTTTAATACAAAATGACATTTTTTACTTTATGTCATGGTAAAAACGCTAACTTTAGAGTTGATGGGAGAGCAAAAAAAAATAGTAACAAAATTTAACTTGACTCGAAGAACCGTTACTAAAATAATTCAATTTTTTTCCAAACAGAACTGTTAATTTGATGTCTTGTGTAAGGTGATTTTAAAATATAAGAACAGAAACGTTATTATGTTTTATGTGATAGGCTTAAGGTAAATCGGCATTCTAGTACGATGCATAATATTTGTGAGCATATGTTATTTTATTATGTAAGAAATCGTCAATTTTTATTTTTAATTATCACAGAAAAATGATTATTATTCATAAGTTTTTTTAATAACTTCGTCAAAAAACTTGTAATCAATTTTTTCTTTCTACAAAACATCTAAAAAATTTAATTTCAAACAACTTATTCATAACATGAAATTTTTTTTAAAACTTAAATGGTACATCATTTTTTAAATTTCCGAAATATATGAATATTTACTGGTTAACATAATGTTTATGGAAATTTTGACTTTTAGGAGATAAATATTAAACTTATGAGTTTTTTGCTAATAACCTCTTTTATGTAAAATAATTACATACATAATTTCTTTCTTATAAACTTTTACGTAAAAATCATACACTTTGAGATAAATTACAATAACTGAAAAACTACCCTTTTGATCAAATTTTCAACCCTTTTGCGGCACGTGTTAATGTCAACCTATCGGGATAAACTTATGCATAGCTTCTTTTTACACGTAGTAGAACAATTTTTTGGCACGCGTTAATCGAATTTTGAAAATTTGTATTTTAAGGACTACTTTATTACATATTTATACTATAGTTTCGTTATTTAAAATCACGCAGTCTGATAATAATTTTTTGTTTAAACATTGGATTCACGCTGTATTTTGATTTACCCATTTGAATCACTATGAATAAAAATCATTTTTTTTTGGTTAATATATTTGAATCACTCTGTATGATAATAATTTGTTGGATTATCCATTTGAATCACTAAGTATATTGAAATATAGTTTTTTTTTTTTAAAAAACTATACAATTGACGAATTATTTTATAGTTTTGAATTTTAAAATAATCACTTTTATAAATTGGAAAATTTATATAAATTTATTTACCAATAAATTTATTGAAATATTATTGTTTTGTCAGAATAAATTTATTATAAATGAATTGTTCACACTGTTAATAACAACTGAACAGGTCACGACAACTTGTGACGTGTTTTATTTTACATTGCATACGCCTTACTTAACGAACTAGTCAATTTTACAATTAGAGAAAAATAAAAAAATAAATTAAACTTAATTACATAACATAAATGTTTTAAAATAACAAATTGTTTTTTTCATTAATTACGTATTAAATCACTTAATAAAAATGAATTATAACATCTTTATATTTATCTTGGCAGTCAACGCAGTTAATGAACATAAAAAATATGATAAAGGGTATGTAGTTAATTTTTTAAATTCATTTTTACAAGAAAACAAGTGGAAAATTGAACCAGCGCAAAGTGTGTATGACGATCTAAGCAAGAGTAGAATTTACTTTCAGAAACTAGTATTTGATAAAGAAAGTTATTTCAAAGATTACCTCGTGGATAAAGATAATGTTAATCAAAAATTAAGAGAAGCAATGTTGCTTATTAATTATGAGTACACAATAAGCTTATTATGGATCATGAATCACATAAAACACATTGCTATTAATTGTATTGCGAAACAAAAGAGCCGTACAACTTCAGAAGATCGCACGCATTGTGTGAGTTTATTATTACCAAATATTGAGAGTTCCAAAAAACTCATTACATGTTTTATTAGTGCAATACATTTCCTAATGAATTTGTTAAATATCAAAACCAACCCATTTATTTTATACGAATTACTAAAATTTATTAGGTTAATAAGGAGAGATATAAATGAAAATGACAATTCATATGTGGAAACCATTTATAATAATTTACTATACGAATACGTAGGGAATGATAATAATTTGAACAAAATATTTCGAAATTATTACATTGATAAACGCAAAACTTGTTTAGATTATCCTGTAAGAGATCTTGAGAATTATATATACAGAAATAATTTATCTAATACGTTTGAAATGTATGAATTTGTAGAAGTTAATTTAAGAGATGGTATTGAATATATGAAAAAAAAATTATATACTAATCTAGGCTTTTTTTATGACGAAGTAAAAAATGAAACTTATTATGTTCATGAATGGAAAATTCAAAAGAAAAAAAAAAGTTTATTTAGGTTTTAACTGTTTATTTGTGAGAGACACGGTGTTTCTATCAAATGATTTTTAATATATGATAATATAAAAAGATAAAATAAATTTATAAATTATATTTACTTGCGTTTAGTTAGTTTATATACTGTATCAACATTTTTATTAGGATTTGTAATAAACACGTATAAAATGTTTTTTATTGCATGTAATTAACGTATAATAGTTATAAATTTTCATTGTTCTTTAATAATTTACAAAATTATAAAGCCTATTTAATTGCTCATGAGAACGATTTTATTTTAAATAATAAGATTGGTTTGCATAAAATGTGCAACTGATATTTATGTACAAAATAGTATAATAAGTCAATGTATTTAATTAAAAATATGATTTTAATAATGCACCATAAATCAGTTTTATCCATACAAACAATTAAAATCATTCATTTTTAATACTTTTAAAGTATATTGTCGAATTATATTTGATATTATATAATTTTACTTTGAATTTTATTAATTTTTTATTTTATTTGTGTGTGCTACTACCAGTCTATAACATTCCAAATTTTTTCGTAACATGTTGCTATATTTTTAACAATGGATGAAATAAAAAATTTACTGTAGATAGTAATTATAAAATTTCCTGATTGCATATTAATATTAACAATACCATTTTCTATATTTAATGATGTCAATTTCAAACTTCCAAATTGAGCTAAAAGTTATTGTAATAAATTCATTTTTTTTTATTATAAACTCTCACTTTAAAGGACAAAAAAAAGTAGGTTCAAAATGATTACTTTTAACATATTAAAAATCAAAATCAATAATAATTTGGAAACAATTAATTATAAAAATTATATAATATATAAGTAAAAGAATTACTAATCTGGATATAGTTAAGGAAATAGAAGTTGATGTTGCTTTTGTTATTATCCGCCAATTTCTTAAAATTAAACACTATCTACATATTTGAATCGAATCGTTTCTTATGATAGTGATTTTAATCACTATCAGATTAAATCTATACTGTACCCAACTATGCCACGTCCCCACTGTGCTGGGTTCTTATTAAATAGTTTTCTCATTAATTGTTTCTCTTATTAATTATTAATTCTCCTATTTAATTTTTATTAATGGTTTATCACGCAATAGATTGTTGGAGATTCGAAAGCATAGATTAAATTTTACTTACCTTATGTCCTGTGTAGTGCAATAATATTTCAAGTAATTCAATGTTTATTTTGGTATTAAACGCACTACGTATACGATTTACAGTATACGTCATATAGTCCATATAATTACTTACAAGAACGATTCAAGATTTTAAATAATATAATTTAATTACACAAAGTTTACGACTGATTTTACTTGTAAAAGATTCTAAACACTCTATATTTTATTATAGATATAATTTTATTTTTTAATTATTAATTTTTTACATCTGTTGAACAGTATTTTTTTTTTTTAGAAAGTATATTTTATTAAGAGATCGACACCAATATTGCCTAAATATTTCTCCGGTCTGGCCAAAACAAAATTCAGAAATATTTATATCTATGTAAAAAATGTATCAAGGCGGAATCGTGGTGGCCCAATGTGTCCCGGAGCTAGCACCTTGAAAGGATGCGGCACAATAATTACCAAGACAAAAATTAATAAAATAAAAATAAAAATAAATTATAAGATGGGGACTTGGGTTTTTGTATAAAGTGTGAACCTGATGTTGTGGTTCTATCGGAGTCGTATGGTTCGAGGATTTAGAACGATAAAGACAAGTAGATATAAAAATATATGTTAAGTTACTCTTATAGAGGTATAATAAACTTTTGTCTGATTAGTTTCTGATGTCCTAACTAAGAGGCAACGAAACGGCGAAGCCAATTCACGAATACCTCGGCAACGAGACGGCAGAGCTAGTCCACGAATACCATATAACGTAATTATGTATAATTTCTTTAACCAACCAGTCAAAATTGACACTTTAAAATATTATTTTAATAAATGATCTATTGCTTTGTCATCCTTTGCTCAAACTTATTTACTCCAAATAATTGGGATAACATAAAATTACTTACTTCTTTTATTATTGCAAATTGCTTGTAAAATGATTTGATAATTATCTCGATATGTTTATATATGCTTAAAAGTATTTAATTCGCACTTCGTCAAAAGATAAATAATTAAAACAAGTTCTTTTCATATATAAATAAAACGCGTAAAAGTTAGCCGACAACAACACAGGGCTGTGACTGATAATTATTTCTTTTTATTCTTATTTTAATTCGGAGAAAACGGACTCTCTCGCTCGCTGTCACTCCTTCGAGTCTCTCTGGAGTCTCTCCATGACTCTCCCTAGTCTGAAAAGATTTCAGTGCTTTTTATAGTAAAATGATAGTACCCCCAATCCAGGGATATTGTTGTCAGCGCTTTTAGTAATCTTTTTAGTTAATTGTATTAATTATACATTACATGATTATTATATTCAGATAACATATTTAACAATTGATAAATTGACATATATATATATAAATAATAAGAAATTGTGTTGAACATCGTATTTGTTATGACAGATAAATTATTTGTTTGTTTACAAGTTATTTAAAATACAGATTATACATTTTTCATTAATAATGTAAAATGCGCAATGCAAAGCATTGAGCATATTACGACAATACACATAGTCCAACATATTTATTAATAAATTAATTTAATTCTCAGTATTGACTGAGGAAATTGTGACCTTTAGATCTGTCCGCCGGCGCGATGTTCATTAGAATAAAGACATTAAAGTCAAAGACTTGCTACCTAATAATAAAAGCTCACAATATATGTTTATTATTAAATAAAATTTAATATTGTGATCTTGTATAATCATAATATGTGACATACATGTACAAATGATAACATCATATTTGAAAGGTTACAATTATAAAAAAAATCAAACTATTTGGCCGCAACGAAAAATTTGTAACTTTCATGGCGCATTGAGTAGAAAGGGTCGCCAACCCACTTGGCGAGACACTGTATTGTCGGACCACAGTAGGATTTAAAAAAAAATTAAATATTGTTAATTAAAAGCAATTTAAGATAAAAAAAAAGAAATATAAAATTAATAAAGATTAAAGTTGATGTCCGTTGAGTCGTTGATAGTAGATGTACACCAAAACCTCGTGACAGTTGTCACATAACCATAATAATGGTTATAATGAGGAATGACCTAATACATGGCCATTACCCGTACCTTATAAACTAAGGGGAGTTGATTTTTGAAAGGAAAAAAGATAAACAAATACACGAGTCCATTGAAGATGGAACGCGCAAAAAAAAAATAAGATAATAGTTAAGTTAAATTTAGGGGACTTTATTAAAAAAAAAAATTAAGTTACTACGAGGCAAAAAACCGAACGGTCAAAAAACCTCGTCTACAAATTAAAGAAGAACAGAGAGAAATAAAAAAAAAAACAGATATTAATAAAAAAAAATACTAGTAACACCTACACTTTTACAATTAGATAATACAATGAACGTTTTCGGGTACCCACCGGCTATTAATCACGGCCTTACCGCTAAGCACAGTACCGCAAATTCAAATTGTATGTANACGTTTTCGGGTACCCACCGGCTATTAATCACGGCCTTACCGCTAAGCACAGTACCGCAAATTCAAATTGTATGTACATTATGGAAAAAGTAGTTGGTTATTACTAATTAATAATTTTATGAGATAATGGGCCTCAAACCCTGATTTTTACCCATAAGATGGTTGAGCTAATTTTAAGTTAAAATTTTTAATCATTCAGTAGTTTGATTCCTTTTTTCTCTGTTAAAATTTTAGATTCTCAATACATACCCACAATAGTTACACAAAAAGTAATTTATTTGGTTATTTGATGTTTATAAAATATTTTTCTATTAAATTGTTTAATATTTTTACTAATTATATTTAAATTTGTTAATTATTATTGAAATAAAGAGTAAATTTGAAATCTAAAAAAATTATTTTTTAGCTTCGATGCGAAGCTGAGAAAGTATTGGTTTTACTAAGATGTGTTTATTTTTTTTTTTTTTTTT